TCTGTAATGCAGGTATAATGAGCATTCTCCTTAGAGATAGTTGTCAGGATCAAAGTCATATGTATATTGGTGAGCATAGTGCATGGCGGAGTCATAAACTAGAATGCTAACTTCTTTTTGGTATTTCGTAACCAAAAAGAAGGTTCTGTTTATATTGAGAGTTGATTTTCCAAATTTATACTAGCAATAGATTCTTCCATTTCCTTATTCTCCGGAAATCGTCAGGGGTCATTGCATAATAGAAATGAGGATGCATACTAGAAATGTAGTTTGCTAGCACATTCATTACTTCTCCTTGTTTAACTGGAGAAGAGGACATGGTGCAGGATCTTTTATAGAGCTTCAGATAGCCCTCTGTAAAACGGAAGTAATAATCTGCCCTCTGATAACTTTAAACTGAAGATATGTGAGGCACTGTGCTTGTCACTCTAGGGCAGCGGTTCTCAACCTGTGGGTCGCGACCCCTTCACAGGGGTCGCCTAAGACCATCGGAAAACATATATCACTCAGGCCATGGGTGGGGGGGCGGGGGACGGGGCAAGAGAGAGTGAGCGCTGGGCCGCATCCTGCCCAGGCCTGCCCGTGGCTGGGCAAGGCTTCTCTGCTTCTTCTGTAAAGGCGGGTGCTGGCATCTGCCAGATGGTGTTGGCTGGGGGACCTGAGCCACCTCCGGGCACCCAGACTGGTTGCACGGGTGCCTGGGGCCGGCCCCGGCCAGAGGGCCTCAGCTCCCGGGTCCTGTGGGCTCGGTGGGCTCGGTCTGGGTCCCAGCTGCCCAGTCTCCATGTCACAGCAGATGCGTTTACTCTGGCCCCCGTGCAGCTGGCTGGGAGTCCCCGCACGTGGGCGGTGCCGAGGCCTCAGAGGGGGGATGTCTTTGGTCACAGTTGTGCAAGATGACAAATATGGGGACCCAAATAATTTAAAAAGCTCCTCTACTCACTGTGCCCCAAGTTGAAAAAAATCCCCCCAAATTGTGTCTTGTTTTGTTTTGCTCTCTTGCGTCTTACCCACTCTGGGCAGGAGTGCTTGTCCCCGAGGTGCGTGCTGCATTTTACCGCTGACACAGCGCTTTCACCGCCAGCTTCTCAGGCGCAGCCAGCCCAGGCTCCAGGAGGGCTGGCGTGTCCCTGTTCTAGAGACGAGAAAACTGAGGCGCAGAGAGGCTGGGTGACGCCCGTGAACGTGACGCTGGGCGTGGCGAGCCCGGGCCCATGGGACCCAGGAGCAGGAAGGACCACAGCAGCGGCCTGGCCTGGCCAGCCTGCCCGGCGCTCCCTCTGCCTCTCGTGGGAGCCTTTGTTTCCAGCCCAGCCCTTCTAGATCCCTCCCCATTTCTCCGCCCACAGGCTCCCTCCTACCTCAGGGCTATGGTACATGCTGTTCCCTCTGCCCCGAAGACTGTTCTCTTAGAAAACCTGTCCTCCACCTCCAGGTCTCAGCTCGTTCGCTCACTGATTCAGCCCACGATGTTCACACGTGCCATGCACTGTGCCAGGTGGTGGGGATCCGGAGTAAACAGGACAGATCCAGTGTGGCCAAGGTCAAGTGAGGAGTGAAGGGTAGTCAGGGAAGGGCTGCTCTGGGAGGAGGAAGGCCAGGCGGGGGCACAGCCGGTTCAAAGGCCCTGAGGCAGGGCACAGCCTGGCCGGTGGAGGAGCGCAAAGGTGACCTGCTTGGCTGCCTGGCCGAGGTGCAGGGGCAGAAGGAACTGCACGGGGAGGGCCGCACGGGAGGAGGTCAGGGAGAGAGGCAGGCCTGCTACTTGGCCATGGTGAGGACGCGGATTTTGAAATGAGCTTTAAGCAGAGCGATGGCTGCCGACGTGTTCCTAAGCTCCCTGGGCTGCTGTGTGAGGAACCGACCATTGGATGGACACGGGGAGTCGCTGGGAGTTGGGGGCTTTGGAGGGGTCTAACGAGGGAGGCTTGGCCCTGGCAGGGTGAGCAGAGGCTTGGTTTCGGGGGGACTGTGGGGATAAGTCTGACAGCTCAGAAGATGCTGAGGGGCTGGAGGTGCGGCCCTGGGATTACGAGCATAAAGGTTTGACTGCAAAGCGTTGCTGTGAAGACTAGGGAGGGTGTGGATGAAGGAGGAGGGAGAAGGTACTGAGAAGGGGGCCCCGTGAGCCAGGCGGGTCCAGGGGAGGGGCTTCCTGGGGGGGACGGAAAGGGCTGGAGGTGCCGAGTGAACAGGGAGGACAGGAAGGGCCTCTGCACTGGGCCCCGTGGCCTGTGGTGTCTCTGACCTTGGCCTTGATGGAGAGGTGGGGCCAGACCGTCCTGGGTTGGAGGAGCATGGGAGGGAGGAAGTGTAGACAGTGGAGGAGGGGGGCAGAGAAACGAGGCCACAGCTGTGGGGCGTGGAATGTGGGGTCGAGGGAGGGTTTTGTTTTAAAAGATGGAACAGCAGAGGGTGTGGAGGGGGAGCTGCCGGAGCTAGTCCTCCGGAAGGTGAGCCAGGTGGCCTTCACGCCAGGGACTGAAAGGGAGGACGAGGTGTGGGCGGGAGGGGAGGAGGGAGGGGAGGGGGGCTTGCTGCTTGGTGGGAGGAGGAGGCAGCATCTGATAGTTGGAGGACGAGTGGGGGAGGCTTGGGAGAGGGGAGATGGAAGAGGGCACCCACTTCTGAAGCAGCACCCGGATGGGCGGGAAGATAGGCCACCAGGGGGAGGTCAAGAGTTTATTTCAGTGGTTCTCAACCTTCCTCATGCCCGACCCTTTAATACAGTTCCTCATGTTGTGGTGACCCCCAATTTCATTGTTGCAAATTGAACATAATTAAAGCATCGTGATTAATCACAAAAACAGTATGTAATTATATATGTGTTTTCCGATGGTCTTAGGCGACCCCTGTGAAAGGGTCGTTCGACCCCCAAAGGGGGCTCGACCCACAGGTTGAGAACCGCTGGTTTATTTATTTATTTTTTTAAATATATTTTTATTGATTTCCTAGAGAGGAAGGGAGAGGGCGAGATAGAAACATCAATGATGAGAGAGAACCTCCTGCACGCCCCACATTGGGGATCGAGCCCACGCCCCTGAACATGCTTCTCCTGCCCGGGAACCCCTTCCCGCCCTGGCCGCCTCCCTCTCCCCTCGGAGTCTCTCAGGTCCCCTGGGCTGGGTCCGGGTCCCTGTGCCCGCCCCCAGCGCCCTCCCCGCCCGCCTGGACGGCTTGCTGGTGCTGAGCCTGGTCGGCCTGTCTCCAGGGCCAGGGCCACGTCTGCCTTGTTGGCTGTTGTATCCCCAGCACCAGGTTCAGGACCGGCACTTCGTAGGTGTCTGTGGAAGGGTGGGGCGTGGCTGCCAGAAAGTGGGGTTCTGGTTTGAGCCACGGGTGCTATGAGCCTTTTATAATCGCCCCGCCTTAGAGTTGAGCCGGGCCACGACCTGGGGACCTGTGTCCGTGAGGAGCCGAGGCTTGGAGGCGCCTAGTGACTTGGGCAGGAAAAGGGCACCCCAGGAGCCAACCTGCCCCTTGCAGCCATCTCCCCAGAAGGCTCCGGGGGGGGGGCACCCCCTTCTCTCCCACCACTTCCTCTAAGGCAGTGGTTCTCAACCTTGGCTGCACATTAGAATCACCTGGGAATCTTTTTAAAATCCTGATTTCTGGGTCTCACCCTCCGGAAATTCTGTTTCTTTGTTACTAATGTTGTGGCCCCACCCCATAACAAAGAAACAGAATTTCCGGAGGATGAGGCCCAGAAATCAGGATTTTAAAAAGATTCCCAGGTGATTCTAATGTGCAGCCAAGGTTGGAACCACTGCTCTAAGGCCCTCCCACCTCTGCACACTTTCTGGTGCATTTTGAGTCCCTTGTCTGTGACCTTTGCTGGTTATTGTCCCCCCGCCGTGGTCAGGGAGACTGCTCCAGCTGGGGAGTGTGTGGTCCAGGGCAGTGAGGCTGGGCTGAGCACCTGGGTACCGCGTGGCCTCAGGCCAGCAGGGGGAGCTCACAAGCCACGAGCCTGGACCAGGGCTCAGGAGAGCTGGCTGCTTCTGAGGGGTACTCTGGGCTCCTCTGCCTGGTGCCGCCGCAGGGGAGCTGGCCTGGGCGGCCCAGCAGGCACCTGTGGGGTGGGGGGAGCTCTCAGCCGGTGCTGGGGGGCTGCTGTAACGGGCAGCAGGCTGCTTGGCTCTGTGGCTCTTTGAGAAGGAAGGCTGTCTTGGCTCCCGGTGTCCTGAGCCTACACCTAATGACGATGATGATGTCTGATGGATCATGTAACTGATTGGTAATGTGACCCGCTGATGATGTAACTGATTGATCATGTAACTGATTGATCATATAATGGACCGATAATGTAATCAATGGATGATGTAACTGACTGATAATATAATTGATTCATTGTCACCAACCTGCTTGGCCTGAGCATGTGTAAGCTTGAAATGACTCTGCAAGAGGCATCTTAATCCCCACTCTGTACATGAGGAAATTAGGGGCCTAGCGCTGTGGGCGCAGCTGGAAAGTGGCCGAGTTGATTTCTGAGCTCTGGTCTGTGGTGCTGGAGGGATATCCTCCCTGGGCCTCAGTTTCCCCTCCTGAACAGAGAGGGCAGAGCAGGAGGTTCCAGGGGCCTCCTGACCCGAACACCCAGGTGGAGCTTGTGGGAAGAAGGGACTCCCAGGGCTGGCTTTCATCCTGGACGTGGCGAGGGTCCCGAGACCGGGGGGTAGGGGGGGGTGGGAAGCCCCCTGGTCTGCCACCTTCCCGCCGGCCTTGACTGTCCTTCCTGCCCGCCCCGCCCCGCAGCGTTTCTGAAGGGCCTGAGTGACAAGCAGCGGGAGGAGCACTACTTCTGCCAGGACTTCATCCGGCTGAAGAAGGTGCCCACCTGGAAGGAGACGGCGAAAGGTAGGCCTGCTGGGGGTGGCCCCTGCGACCACACCTCGGGAGAATCTTCCCGACGAGGCCAGGAAGAGTGGCTGCAGCGTGTGCCGAGTGCTTGCTGTGTGCGGGGCGTTGTGCATGCGGCACCGCATTTAATTAGTAGCACAGCCTGAGGCGGGTTTGGTTTTTGTCCCCATGACATCCTTGGGAGGCTGTGCCCAGACCCGCCATCACCTGGCTGTTGAGCCGGGATTTGTGGCTGTGGTGGCGTGGCTCGCGGGGTGTGTGCTGGTGAGCGCCCAGGCCCCGCACACTGTAGCCCTGGTAACTGGTAACCTGGGCAAGTCACTTCACCCACCTAGGCCTCAATTCCACATCCGTGCAATGGGGAGGGCGGTGCTAGTACTGTACCTGTGCACAGCATTGCTATACAGATTCAAGACTGGATGTGTGCTGCACATAGTAGGTGCTCAGTCGTGGGCTGCCATCACCAGGGATTTCAGTCCCGCAGGCCAGCTGCCTCTGGAGGTGGAGGGGCGCTGTTGGGCGCCCGGCCCCTGGGCACTGGCCGGTCAATCTGCAGTGACCGCTCTCTCAGCCTCTGCTTGTTCCAGGGTTGGCCGTGAAGGTGGAGGAGCCCAAGTACAAAAAGGACAAGCACCTCAACGAGAAGATCTCCCTGTTCCGCGGCGACATCACCAAGCTGGAGGTGGACGCCATCGTCAACGCCGGTGAGTGGAGGCTCCTGGCTGGCCCGAGCCAGAGACCTGGCGGCCTGGTCACCTTCGCTCCGGTCTGCCGTGCCCCGCACGGGGACGCCCCCGGGCTCCAGCGAGGCTCGGGTGGCCGGATGAGAGGGCCTGCTGGCGCCACGGGAGCCCGGAGTGTCGGCTGAGTGGATGCCTGTTCCCTTGAAACCCTGACCTCTGTGTCAGGGGCGCCTTGGCTGCGCTGCCTCACGGCTCGGAGACCCATTAGCGGCCGGGAAGAGAGAGCCTGGCTGGAATCGCGCCGGGCTGCGGGCCGCCCTTCCAGGAAGGCGTATGCCCTGACCACCGCTTCCTTCCTCCGCCGCCCGCCCGCCCCTCACTGTCAGAGCTGGAGCAGGCGGGAGCTCACGGAGGAAGGGCGGGGGCAGGCCCGGTGCCCCAGGCTCAGCTTCCCGTGTGACTGCTGGCTTG